TGAAAGAGCAGCTTGAGAACTCCGTAAGGCATGCAGAACATGCAACATATATAACACAGTAGGTGGCACTCTTCCCTTTAAATCCTCAAGCAGTCACTTGGAGCTGTGCTACCATACTTGGCATGTTGCAATCAAGACCCAAAACCGAAGTACCATTTACTATGAGCAATTAAAGATCCCTTAACACTGTATAAATGTGAACATTCTGTTATTTCCATGGCCATAGGTAATGGCTTAGTTGCCTCACAAGACAGCACATGAAGAAAAGAAAGACATACATATGCTAGGCTTGCACTTGAATAGAAGAGTCCACTTCTACCTTCAGAGACTCTAAGCACGTCTAAGCTGTTCTTCGCTCAAAGAGCGGTGCGGACAGGCTAAAACCAGAAATGTTCCTACAGAGCAGTGTTAGGCTCAGGCCCAGGCTTTCTCTCTGCTGCTTGTTTCTGATTTTGAACACTGTTCATCACTGCTGTATGCTATTGATCAGCAGCCGAATGCCATGCTGCTGACACTGTCTTACTGCCAAAATGATCTCTGTGTATGCCTCACTCCCCTCAGTGTAATCCTAATGCACAGAATCAATGAGTATAAAATGCTCAGATGGTCACCAGTAAAAAAGCATTGCTTATTCCTCTTATTGTTCTGTTTCTCCATCACGGCAAAGTTGTCATAATTTGTCAGACATGACTTTCTCCACAACACTCAGATCTAGATCTGACTTAACACTGAAGGTTGATCCAGGACAAATGCATTCGCACCATAGCTTCATGTCCTCACCAATTATTGATTCCCAACAGAAAAAGGTGTCTTCACATTGCTGCCTAAACATGAAAAAAAATCCCTATTTGAGTAGTATTTCAGCAATTGCCCTTATTCTCAGAAAATTACTCATGCACGCAAGGCTTCTCTGGGTGTGCACAGCTTACTCGAGTGAATGAGACTGGAAAGGATAAAAATGTACCTCCTTAATAAATTAATTGTAGGAGGTAAAATACCACAGCATCTGTATCAAATTAGGGTAGTGAAAACTTATAATTTAGTATGGTTCAGCTTTTCTCTAGCATATGCTGCCTCTAACAGTGTTGAATGTTATTTTCCAGAATTTACCCAGTTGCTCATTTTCAGCACTGGCTATAGTGTATGGCAACCAGGTACTACACATAAAACTTTTCTGGGGTAGTGTAACAATCAGTTCTTGCAAAAAAAAGCTGGATGGGAGGCATGTATTAACTCAGGTCAATTTAATTCTAAAACATTTTATGTCTCCCCTGTTGTAAACCCTATAAACTCCTTTCATGTGTATTTGTGTATGGCTTTTCAAAACAAGAAGACAAATTTCCCCTTTCCTTCACAAAACATGAACAAGCAAGTTCACAATCACCTACTTCCTTTTTCATGCAAACAGCTCTAGTCTGGATTTATCACAGGTCATTAATTTGATCTGTCTCCTTTTCTTTTTTCTTTTATTTTTTTGTTTGTTTTGTTTCATTTGGTGGGTTTTGTTTGGTCGGTTTTTGTTTCAAAAATTCAACTAACGCAACTCCTTTTCCTTGGTCTAACTCTGTCTTCAGTCTTAAACTCCAATAACTGTGATTCTCTATTTACAAACACTAAGAGGGCATTATGGTTAATACTCTCATCTTCTAGTAGCTAGAGATGTTAGCTGTTAATTACTCTCATAGATGTTAGTGCCCAATTATTTTTTGGTTCGAGTAGCATGAGCTCAGTTGATAAGGTTGGTTTTGCCATTAAGTAACAATATACAGTTATAATGTTGACTACTTGAGAGTACATGTAACATGTGTGACTACATGACTCATCTCCCCTCAAAATATTCATCCATGCCTCAAGAATTTGGTTACTACTACATGGAAAGCAAACGTTGCAAATATACTTCACAGAATTACTTACTCTTTAAAAATTCATTTTGCAGTTAGACAGACACCTCATCTGGGCATTCTGCTCCTGAACTAAAACTTCCATGAAAGCCAGAGATTTTCTCCAGTGAAGAGTGATGGAGAACAGAGATCATAGATTTTATGCATAGGGAATTGTTTGGCTTTAGAGAGATTAGTCAGTATATATTCTCCTTGTATTTGACCTTATGGGAAGCTATCTAATTAAAATGGGTTCCTTTTTTGATAAAATTATTCCCCAGACAGTGAAACACCTTTGCAACTGAACAACTTCAGCTTAAGAGTGCCAAACCTTCCCAATCTTACCGAAGCTATACTATTTTGCTTTCAACCACGTAAAAGGTAACTCCTTGAAGAAAAGGATCTGCTGAAGCAGACAAAAATTGCCTCACAAAAGAGAAAATTAGTCTCATTAACAAGAAGAAAACAAACAACTACCAACAAAAAAAGCCCAACAAAACCGACAAAAACCGAACCAAAGAACCAAACCAAACAAAAAAAAACAACCCAACAAACAAAAAAAACAAAAAAAAACAACAAACAGCAAAACAACCCAGAAGTTAATTAGAGCAAGATCATTTTGTTTTTCTGGTCTGAAACAAATGGCAAAGGAAGTCCTGAACACGGTAACAGCTGCATAAAACTGCCACAGACTCCTCAAAATCTCCATGAGTTCTGGGATTAAAGGCCTGACTCTGCGGGACTTTCTCACGTTGATGCCAAAGGATTTAGCCGCCAAGCAAAGATTACTTGCATGAGAATGGGTCACCGGATGACACTTAGATTGAATAAATGCAACCCAAAAGCTGTCACTGGACTGACTTTTGCAAAGACAGTGGGAAAACCACGCCTCTAGCTACTAGCTTGGAGGTTAACTTAATGATTAATATCGTTGCTGGATAACGCTACGCAAAAGTTAACAGACTCTGTGTCAAATAGTAAGTCACTGCAGACAGCCTTGTTAACAGAAAATGGTTGTTGGAGATTCAGCTCTTCGGTATTTACAACACCTGCAAGCCGTGTGTGCCCCTTTGGAAGATCCAGCATTGACCTTGCAGAGTCAGGAATTAAGAGTCTCTCACAGTTTATCACGGAGCTGACTCAAGCCTTTATTTTCGCTGTTCTATTAATGAAATAATTTTCTGTCTACAGCAGCTAGAAATCCGTGCTGCACAGATGCTGGCATAAACGCTCATGTTTACAAACTTCAAGACCCGCAATTAGCTCAGGAGAGGAACATAAGGACGAATTTCCCTCTCAACAATCGGTCAAGGTTAGAAAAAGGCAGATCCATTTGCCTAAGGAAAACCAAGCAGTTACCGCCTTGCGACTCACCCTGGGAAGAGCCAGGCAGGAGAGGCGGTAGCGGCGGGCACAAGGGCATCTCCGCGGCGACTGATCGCGCTCCCGCCTCTGCCCCGCTTACCCCGCCAGCCCCCCAGCCGCAAGCCGGCCGGCGCCACCCCCGGGAAACGCCTCCC